CTGGAGCAAGTTCCTTGAAAACCATTGGTTTATCAAGACACTGTGGCTAAAATGTAAGAAAAACTGTTATAGACCTTGCTTGTAGCCATGGAAGTAAAAAATGCTACCGATAGCTTGAAAGAGAGACAAGTTGGACACCTGACTGACAGACTTTTTCTCTTGTTTCTGTGCTGATATAATAATGTGTTCACTCTGCCTGTGTACTAGAAATCCATAACTGCAGGAAAACAGCTTTTAAGCATGTCTTCTCATTTTTGTGTGTTGTGTTGCAAAAGCTGTGTGACCAGCCAAGTGTGTTTAATGAACTTTGACCCAACCTTTGTGTGTGCAGCCAATCACGGCTGAGCAGTGCTTGAAATAAAAGAAATTCATGAAACTCTAGAACTGTACAACAACAGTCTGGCCTCGTGTCAAGACCAGACAAAAAAGATATTCTACACACAGACTCGGCAACTCTTCCACCTCAGCAAAACATAAAAAAGTTTTGTGTATAGGCTATTTCAAGTCTCCACCACCACCATCCCCAAATTTGCAGCATTTCTATTCAAGCTTTTTTACACCCAAAGGGAAGATATGCAGTGAAACTGCAGCATAGGAACCCACCTCGTTTGGACTATGGGAAGGAAATAACACCTTGACTTACCAGAAATGATTTGCCAAACACTATTCCCACTCTGATGGACTGTACAGTTCCCTGAGTATGAACATTGTATGTCACACTCACAGTCGGGAGGAAGGAGTGATGTGCACCTCCTATTTTCTGCACAGATTGAGACAAAATTGCCATTGTTTGCATTAAGCATTAACATGTTTCTCCTCCACCTGTGTGGAAGGTTTTGGGGCAGAGTTGCTGACACCACAGCCAGGGCTCTCATGGGAGATAAATGGGACAAGAACACAGTTTTCAAAGGTGCTTATGTGAACAGCATAAGCAATTCTGAGGGAAGACCTCAACAAAACAGATGTTTAATCCCCTATTCAATCAACAAGTGTAGGCGAGGGACCATAGAATGTGAAATGCACTGTAGCTTCTTTTGAAAATTTGCTTGTGTGCGAGACAGACGGGGAGAGAAGGATCTCCCAGGAATTGAATGTTTTTCTAAGAGCTACATTAGATTAGGCACACATGCTAAGTGCTTTCCATCACAGGCAGCTCCTTAAAAACTTCTGGTTTCATCAGCTCAAGTAACCGAGTGCATAAAGATGGCCGCTTCCTGGGTTCCGGTTGCATTGCCCTCCTGATTCACAGTGCAATTTAATTTAGCAGAATCCACGTCTGACATTTTCATAACAGGCCTTCATTCACAAATAAAAATGTTAAGATGCTCAGAATGCCTGGCATAAGACATTTTTTAGTGAAATAGTCCCAGCTGAGCGGGCACGTTGTTTAAGTAGCTGAAATCAGTATTTGTTTCGTATATAACCAGTGGGCCAAATGGGTTGCTTCTAGTGGTAAAAACACAGAGACCATCAACTGACTCAGCAGTTCCACTTAGCCTGACTGAGCATTTTAGCATTTTCAACTCTTGATTTTTGTTTTATGACCCACAGCTTTACTGTTTGGGTTCACTGTCACAGTTCTTATAGCAATGTTTTCACCCACACAAAAAGCCAAAGTAAGCTGGTGAACTTATTGTAGCATTTAGCTGCTAAACTGCTTGCATATTTCCCTTGAGGGTTGGTGAGGACAACAAAACAGAGCTAGAGGGAGGGTGAATATAGACTTGGATTCATTAATGTTCAGAAACACAATTTAAAAAGAAATGATAGTCAAACCAGTGTGTGAAATGGGGTGGGGGGGGTGACAACTTGGACCCACTGAAAGTCTCAAAATTAATTTTTCAGGGGTCTCAGAAATATGTCTGCTTGTTTTCTATTTATCTACACAGTGCAATATGCACAGTGCATGTAACTTTATGAATGTTTAATTGTTTTTCAATCTGGAAATGGTTAATTGAGGAAATGATCATTTTATTACTTTCATTAGATGAGGAAGATCAACACAGATGTAAATGGCCACTTATGAAACCTAATGGACATTTGAATGCTTTCTAATGGAGGAGGATGTGTGGGTGGATTTGACTGAAAGAAATGTGTTAATTAGTAAAAGCAATTCACCAAATAGAGTTGGATTTCATCTAAGTGTGCAGCTACATAAGTGCTTTGCTGTAAGCCAGTTCTGTCTGAGCCCTGACTGCCAGAGACACAAGAGCAGGAAATTATAGAGCAAGATCTTTCTTTTATTTTTCTTTCTGAAACGCTGTGAAAAAGTTCTTTTTCTGCTGATTCATTTATGTACACATGGCCCAATTACCATGTGTAGTCAAAATACTTTAGGTAGACAAAGTTTTCTTAATGTGTCGCCTCACATTAAGCGACTTTGGCATTTAGGGATGGCACTTTGCTCTAATTTACCGTCTCTAGTGTTTATGGCCGTGGTGAGGAAGTGGCAAGCTGCGGTTCTCCTCCCTTCATTTTGTCATCCTAGGTTTTTCAGAAATGACACAGCCACCTCATTACACCCATAAACCCTTGTGTTTTTAGGTTGCTTCCCATCACACTGGGTTCTCACTCCTAATGAACCACCACCACCTAATGTTCCCTTGGAGGAGGAGCAGGACTCGCTTTTCAGGGCTCTCTGGGTGGTTAATTGGTGCCACAGTGACTGTTTTCAGCTGTCCATGACTTGAGACATAGTGTGTCTTTAATCATACTCTTCGCTCTCCTTATTCACATAGATAAAGCTGCAGATTCATAGTGTAATGACATGTGTGATGACAGATGACATTATTCATTTGACATGAGACGATGATTCTTTGTTCAGCTTTCAGCCACTTTGTTTTTATTGACTGATTTTGCTTTTGAACCTTACGCACTTCATGCTAGCACCCCCGTCCCAGCCTGCTGATGAAGGGCTCTTCATTAGTCATATTTCTGCTCTGATAATGTCACTCAAGAGGTGAATTAGCGTGATAGAAAGATACTCGGGATCCAGATCTCGGAGGATTTTGGAAATCTCTGAGGTAAGGCTGGACATAAGAAGACTTAGGAGGTAGACATGGAGCTTTAAAAGGCTTTTTTGTTCTACATGTCATGGACCGTGACAACATGTGTAGTTAGTGGGAACAAAAGCCTGAGGAAGGAATATTTCTCTTCCTGCAAGATGAAAGTGAAACACAGCAGCAAGTGGATATGCTCTGCTCTCACTTTCGTACCAAATTAGAGACCAGAGACTGTAAGTTGCAGATACAATTTTTACCTAATAATTTCCAGCTTTGGTATGTCAGCCATGTTTTCTTTAAACTGTCAGTATAAAGATTCTTGAGGGTATTCTGCAATCAAAAGAATAGTTCAGCATTTTGTGCTTTTTTTCAGACAGTGAAATGAGAAACTTGATACCAATCTAATGTCTGGAGCTGGAATGAGGATGTGCTGTTGAAACAGTATTTCTTTCAAATATGAAAACACACTATGTTTTCCTAGGGTCCTTCTGTGCAGTGTGTAGGATACTGCTACACTTTGGGTTGCCAAATACTGTCGGTGCAGCCAGGTTTTGGTTGCTATAGGCACAATGGTACCAAGGCTCTAAAACCTCAATGTGACAACACAGCTGTGAAAAACTCACAACTTTTCTTCAAGCCACAAATCTAGCAACTTTCTGGGCAGACAATGTTCTCTCTCTAGAAATGTGGTTGAGCACAGAAACATAAATGAGCTGTGAATGTATGAACCACTTCCCCTAGGCATTTCTTCTAAATTACAGCTGATCCTGTGGTGTGGTCATAACAACCTGGAGCTGGAACAATGGAGATGGCAGTGGACATTCCCACATTCCCTACAGAAGTTATACATTTGTCTTGTTTTCATAGAAAAGTGTTTTTGTACACTCAGAATGTTTGGATTGTCGCATCAAAGTTACACTGCAATTTCAAAAATGGAGTGTAGGCTGTATTTGACATAGTAGGCTACTTAAAACGCATATATTTAAATGCTACATCAAATGGACAATGAACTATATTATAAATTAAATTATTTTCCATTAACAGCTCCCGTTTTGTTTACTGGTCAGCTGGTCTAGAAAATGTTTGGATAAACAAGCCTTTTACAGTACAGACTATGACTTCATGGCTACAATTTGCTTAATCATCATGTTATAGAGCAACAATAAGCTCGTTTCATAATCATTAGAGCCTATTTCATATTCATTTTTGGAAGCAGATCAAGTAAAATCAAAAATATCTGTGGGATTTTGCAATTATAGACCAAATCCAGATCTATTCAGAACACCATGTATTCATTTCAATATGTTTTCCCATCTTCATGTTGTGTATGCAATGTCCGTTATCACACACACTGGAGAGCATGGTGCTATGAAGAAATGCATGCTGCTGCAACAGTGAGGGGAGCTATGCAATAATGTGGTATTCAAGTGAATGGCGAGGAAGCTTCATTGTTCTTGAGCCTTCGTCTCTGCCTCTGTCACAAAGATTTGCAATAAAGCCGAGGAGGACTCAGTGTATGGTCTCCTGCACAAGCATTAGCTGAATTCTACTGTTGCAGTTTTGAAGCTCACACATCACTTAGCTGAAAAAAATTAAATGCTGTGACCGGGGTTCCTTCCCTTCATAGTTAGGCCATTACTATGGTGTTTATCATGAAAATGTGTTGACTCTAACATTTGTCGGCAATTAGATGCCACAGAGATTGTACAGTTCTACTCTCTGAAAGTCATAATATGTCATGTTACATTAGTGTATGTTTTATTTTGCTTTTCTAATAATGATAACTGGATCCTGTTTGACCCTCAAAAGTCAGAGATACTTTATTTTGCACCATGGATGCTAGATGACTTCGATGCCCAACACTGCCACTTGTCAAGACTTCATTCCAGACACTAAGTTTGGAAACCATACAGTATATGAGTTTGGATAATTTAAACTGGATCTGAAGGTTAAAGAAAAAACATTATTATTGAAATTGGAAGACACTTGTGAACTCACCCTCTCCTCCTCCTCTCTGAGATCAGGCATGGTGCTGACACATAGGGTCACAGCGGTGATAGCTACAAACAGTACTGACAGACAAGCAAAGATCTTCCCTGGCAGGCCAGAGTGGGGGTTTTCGACCATGTCCCTCAGTCTTCGCATGCAGCCCTCCGTGAAGGTGTCTTCCTGTGCCCCCGCTCCAGGAGGCTGCTGGCCCTCTTCACAGGACTGCGGCGAGGTGAGCTCGGCCTCCTCCTCCTCCAGCCTTTGCTGCTCCTTGTACTCCTCTTGCCTGAGCAACAGCTTCCTGAGGCAGCACCAGTCCAGGTTGTTTTCCTCCACCCCCCAGTACAGCAGCTCCTCCTGAAAGGACTGACCAGGGAATGCGGTACTTGATGCCCCCCACATTGATAATGGCCGCCCCGTCAGCCAGGCCAATGTCATCTCCATCCTGTTGGAGGGGCTGAGGCTGGAGTAGGAGCTGGGCTCGCTTGTAGAACAGACCCTTCTTAGAGGTGACCTCCTGTGGGTTCTCAATGCGGTTGAAGTGGAAGGTGGTGAAATGGTGCTCGGTCCTGCCTGCCAGGAAGGCTACCTCCTGGTACATCCCTGCCACTCTGCTAGCAGGCCCTGTCCTGCACAACGTGATGGGAGGGGGGCTTCACAAGGTGTGTGGGGTGACTGGGAGCCTGTCACCCATTCAGTAACACAAAATGTTTCTGTGGGACAGAAATAACAAGTCAGTGATTAAAATGGTGAAATTAATTAATTTCCTTCCAGCGGGATAGTGGAATAATCATTTATTAATCAATTTCTAGATCTGCTCCTGGAGGCAAAGCAAACACACACCCATGAATTTGCACCACTGACCAATAGCAAGCCGTCTTGACAATGTTAACCTCAGAGGAAATGAGTACTGAGAACAGAAAAGTAGATCACCAACTAGCACAGCAAGTGATCACTGTGTCGCCGGGTTTCTAGAATCAAATCATTTGCAAATATGTGCTGATGAATTTGGTTGAGCTACTGTAAGTTTCACATCATCAGGCTGTTAGAAGAACTTGGTCAATGATAAATTGTGATCAACATGCTTCAGATGTCACCTTTCCCATCAGATGTGAAAACTCAGAAATAAACATGTGTGTCTTCGTCTGGTGAAGAAGACACACGCAGAGGAAATGAGTACTGAGAACAGAAAAGTAGATCACCAACTAGCACAGCAAGTGATCACTGTGTCGCCGGGTTTCTAGAATCAAATCATTTGCAAATATGTGCTGATGAATTTGGTTGAGCTACTGTAAGTTTCACATCATCAGGCTGTTAGAAGAACTTGGTCAATGATAAATTGTGATCAACATGCTTCAGATGTCACCTTTCCCATCAGATGTGAAGACAGAACTCAGAAATAAACATGTGTGTCTTTGTCTGGTGAAGAAGACACACATGTCAAAACAGTCTATTTTTAGAGAGGAATGTCAAATACAACTTCTCTGCAGTCTGATTACAATGGAAGCTCAAAAGAATGAAACCCAATACCATGTTGTGGCTTGAACCCAATGCAAGAAATTAATAAGGTTACTTTTCTATTTTCTGCATCACCAGGCTGTGGAATGAAACAATTTAAAGCCCTGTTTCACAATGTAGAGCTAATCACAGCACACTGGGCCAAAAATATGAACTAAAGGAAAGCATCAACTGTTATATGCAAGATATGATGTTAACATACATTCAGTGTTTAATATATGTGGCAATGGTTTATTTGTTTATCATTTCATATGAACAAACATCTGCTTTATAAATGTATTATTGTTTTGAATCAGTGTGTTTCTAACTATATGAGGAGGCTGTCTACATTTTATTTCTAAGAACAAAAACTAAAATAATAACTATAACGCACAGCTATGTAATAACTTTTTCTATTGCTGTGTCTGAGAGTCTTCTGTGTGTTTTATCCACTGTTCTTCTGATGGTAGTTGTGAAAACATTTCAGCAACAAGAATCTGTGGAAAGAAAGAACAAGTGGCACAAAGTAGCAAAGGGAAAGTGAAACTGAAAATATTTCTCCATGGATGCACTTCATGGTAGTGTTGGAGTAGAATAAAAGAGAAAGAAAAGGGAAAATGGTGGAACAAAAGCTCTAAACAATTATCAAATTAGTTGTTAACTTACTGTAGGTGCTCGAGAGTGTAGCACACATACAGTACTCATTTATGTGAGGCGGGAAACTTTGTGTGTGTTTCCGGGATCAGATCAGGATCAGTGCCAGTTCTTTCAAATATTAACCAACGAACAGACAATGTGGAGAATTATTTTTATAGCACATTTTATAACTGATATTTATTGTTTGGGATTAAAGTTACAAACGGGACACATACTCTGACCTGTACGGAGGGATGGTGTTCATGTTTTTAAGCTATCAACCTAATCCCACACTGCCGATTTTAATTTCTTTTTTGGTGGATGGAGTTTGGTGATTTCAGCCTCTTTCTCTCGGCCATTTGTCTGCTGCATGTGTGCATGTGGCACCCGCGATGGAGTCTGACAGGCAGTTGGGGAAGAAAGGCACATACGCATCGTGATTTTTTTCTTCACTATCGGTAATAATCAAATGTGCATGGTATGATAACTGTCAACTTGCAGACCGTGAAACCGGTATACCACCGCAACCTTACTGATTACACAGGCCGGTAATACTCTACTCATTAAGGCTGAAGTGGACCAGAGACAGTGGAGCTCCTGTAAGGATGCTGGCCACATCAAAACAACAAATTAGGAGTGGGACCTCTGCAGCTTTCCTCAGAGTTTGCTCTTCTGCTGTGAGGCCGGTCATTATGAAACAGGCCGTTTCCTCAGAAGGAAGTGGTCAGAGAGCAGAACCTCTACACCGAGTTAGCAAAGTGCTTCTGACAGGAGCAGTTCATGGAGCATGACACTGGAAGCACAGGGAAAATGATTTCAAGTCTTTAAGTAGTTCAAACCACCAAGGAGTAATGTCAAAAAAGGCACATGGAAGTAAGTGCAAGATTAAGGCAACAATATTTAGGTGTCATTAAGTTCAACAGTTTGAGAAATACTAATTCGAGTTCTTGCTGTGAAGTCGAATGTTGAGAACTGCAATGTCTCTATATGAGGACAATTATTATACAGTAATGCAAAGTCACGGTTGCCATGAAAGGAGTTTTATTGAGCTTTAGAGGTGCTGGTAGGGAGATTTTTATAGCCTTTGGTCAAAGACAGGCTAGCCTTCGGTTTAATGCTAAGTAAAGCTAATTATCTCCTGGCTATCACAGCACAGAATTTTCCATTTTCTCTTTCAGGAAGGTCGCCACAGTGGAGAACTGTGGTCCGCGTATGCAGTGCCCTTCCTGATGCAACCCTATGGAACAGTTTAGAATCAGTAATTATCTTTGGATATCTTTGCATTCAGGGAGGAAGCTGGAGAAAACCAACATAGGCATGGGGAGAACATGCAAGCTCCACACAAAAACCGGTCAAGATATGGACCTGGAACCTTCTTGCTGTGACACAATAGTGCTAAACACTGCACCACCATCACAAATGTTTATGCAAAATCCAACCAACCCACCATGTAAGGAAGAATAAAAGAGGCACTCCAAATAAGCTGTGCAAAGTCTGACAAATGCCCTCAAGTAATGTCACCTTGAGTCTGCATCGGTGGGGCTGAAGACTACAGGTTTGACAATGAAAAAAAATCTGGAAGTGTGGCGTTAGAAAGCAGTGAGCTTACAGTGCCAGGCCTCTGTAACTCACTCCTCATCTCTGCTTGAGGCTAGCAGCTCGAGGCTGCATTAGGAGCTAGAAGGATAACACTCCTGATGCAGCTATTTTCAGGAATGTGTAACTGTACAGTGATTCATAAAAATGAACTGAATAATCCAGTTATAATTGTCCTCTCAGAAACACTTGTTTGCCCACAGTCTGGCACTCTCAGAATGTATTCAAAGGACCAACAAAAGTGGGAAAAAGAAATTACAATGGTCAGTGTTACTTTTAGCCATGCTAGCAGCATGTCTCTGGGAATGGCAGTGGGCCACAGTTTGGGACCATAATGAAATGTCTCAACAGCTAATGGAGGAACTGCCATGAACGTTTGTTCAGACAATAATGGTTGCCATTGAACAAACCCTAATAACTCTGGTGATCCCCAGAATTATCATCTAGCGCCACTATTAGGTTCGTGTTTGAGGTTAAGATAAAAAATTACACAGGTTTCCATGGAATTTGTTACAGATAATCAAGACACCAGGAGGATTAATCCATATGAGTTTAGTGATTCTCTGACTTGTTCTGACTTGTTCATCAACCATGAGGTCGATATTTTTGCTCAGCAACTGTCTGAAATTTTGTACACATATATTTATGAATCAACTGTTATAACTGTGATTTTATGAACTTGTATATAACATTGTTATATATTGTTATAAGATTGTTATATTTCAAATAACCCACTGTAGTACTATCAACTGGTTAAAATGTAATTTTCCAATACTATGGTTAATGAGCAAATACTCAGGATTTTTCCATCAGCCCCAGCTATACTTTGTTTGGTACTACTTAGTAAATTATGAGCATGCTAACGCACTAAACTAACTAAACAGGACTGCTGGCTTAGCTGTTTACTCTTAGTAAAATTAAACATATTAAGGGACTGCAGGCAGTGCACACATCCAGTATTTGCTAAGAGCAAACCAATGACATAATGTACTAAATAGTGTATGTCCTTGATATTAAGGCACAAAAAAACTAAATACAAGCAAGGCTTTCATACACATAAACAAATCTTCTTATTTACATAACAAGGCCATTAATGCAACAATTTACCTATTGCATCTGATTTTATATGGAACATTTTCTTTCATTTCAAGCATTTATGGAACATTCCTCCCATCCTCAATAGGCAAAGCGAGTACAGCATATGAGGCCACATTTCATGAGGCTTTTCCTAAAGACCGGTCACTCTCAGTGTCTGTGCTTGTGTGTCAGATGCTGAAATCTATGACAAAGGCGTCCACTAAAAACATCCCACAGGCTCTGTTTCCTTCCTCAGACCTGAAGGGTTAAGATTCTTCTTTTAAGAAATACTTTCAAGGTGGATCGAGTGACTACTCTCTCTTTTTTTCTTCAGAAACAGCATCTAAAGAAGATGGAATACTTTAAAACGCCATTGTTCCTTCACCACCAGTTTCTCATGCAAATATAATTTACATGACTCTGCATAAATTTGCAACCTAACATCACTGATTTGCCTTCCCACATCCATTCAGTTTTCATCTCTGTAAAAGGCTCAAAGCAGATGTCTATTTTTGTAAATAGAGATCTTCTTGAAAGACACTTAACTATCACCTGATCGCTGCTAAATCAGA